TCATTTTACACTTCAGGGGCTTTCCAATATATATCCGAAATTTAAATCGATGATTCCAAGGTTCAAGTGGATCAAGATATGAGTTCTCAAGTCGTCTCCATCATCGTAGTCATACATTATACTTTCTACACGCGTATCATTGTCGTTCCACTCAATTCTGCCAGTGGCATTACTTTCAATAAATTAGGCTTTAAATATTCTAGTTTCTTTAGACTTCAAGGTATTTGTTCCTTTGATTATTGAGGCTATTATAGTTATTACAAAGTTTGAGGACATTTCAGTAATTCTTTTCAATTCAATCATATGCAGTTTTTCTGATAATTGGTCAAGTTTTTCCTTTCTAGGTTATTCTTCACCATCAGGCGAAGTCTTGGTCTTTTACAGTACAAGGGCATTTTCGTAATTTTACCCCATAGGGATATTTTTGATAATTTCTTATCCAACTAATCCCGATATTTAACATTTAAAGAAAATTTATCAAAATTTGTGGATCTTAAAGTCAATTTCATTTATTAATGAATCACTGAACTTATAATTATTTCTGATCGATCTTCCAGTTTCTTACGCGAGTTATCTGAGTCATATTCGGTTATCGATTTTTTATCGTATTCGATCGAGTTTAAAAATAATTTACTATATATGAGACCCATCATATTCATCCATGTATCTATCAATTTTTAACATGTTCCATAAAGTATCACTACAACAAAAGTGTTCTGTAGCGGCGTTTTTAGTGGCATTTTAAGGGAAAACGCCACAAAGTTTAAGCATATAGCGGCGTTTACATTCCCAAACGCCACAAAATGATATTTTAACGGTGTTTTTTAAACAAACGCCGTAATAGAGTGGTAATTTAGCGGCGTTTATAGCAAAAACGCCGTAATAGATACGTTTATAGTGGTTTTTTTTTAACAAACGCCGCAATAGAGTGGTAATTTAGCGGCGTTTTTACACAAACGCCGTGATAGTGTTATTTATAGTGGCATTTGTTTAACAAACGCCGCTATAGAGAAGAAATTTAGCGGCGTTTATAAAACAAACGCCGCAAATAATATTGTTTATAGTGGCGTTTATGCAAAAAATGCCGCAATAGATTAATAATAAACGTCACAAATAGTATTGTTTATAGTGGCGTTTATGCAAAAAAGCCGCAATAGATTAATAATAAACGCCGCAATATGTTGTTTATCGTGATGTTTTTATAAAAATGCCGCAAAAATATGCACTACAGTGGCGTTTTTTTAAAAAACGCCGCAAAAGGGTCAATATGGCTCTACACTTTTCTCCTGCCCAATCCCTAAAATCATTTCAGCGCTACTTCCCTAAAAGGGATTTCTCTGGTACAACAACGACCCTCATACGATTGCAGCCGACGTTGTCTTCTGTATGTCCTAGCGACTAGTTTTTTCCCTCTCACTAGCGAACAATTATATCACGATTGCACGGTTTGATCCCTTCTCTCACTACTGAACTTTTTCATTTATATTTTTGTTGGTATTCTGAAAATGGGGAAAACCTAGAAAGCTAACGTAGTGGAGAAATATAATCACTACAGCAAAATAAGTATATAGCGGCATTTTTCGCAGCGTTTTCAAAGCAAACGCTACTAAATTTATACATATCCTGACATTTATATCCAAAATGCCACAAAATAGTAACATTGACGGCGTTTTACCATAAACGCTGCTAAAACTCGTACTTTAGCGGCGTTTGTTTCACAAACGCCACAATATATAAGTACTTTAGTGGCATTTTAAAACAAACGCCGCAACAAAATCCTACTTTAGTGGCGTTTCTAAACAAACGCCGCAAAAGAATCATTCTTTAGTGGCGTTTATAAACAAACACCGCAATAGAGTACATATATTGGACGTTTTTAGACAAACGCCGATAAAACCTAATACTTTAATGGCGTTTCTAAATAAACATTGTAATAGAATCGTTCTTTATTGGCGTTTTTCTAATAAATGCCGCAATAGTTTGGAACGCTTATGTTGAGCCGTTAGTGGCGTTTGGTTTGAAAAACGCCGTAAAGTTTTATAAAAAAACCCCAATTTTTTCTCCACCCCAATCCCTAATTTCTTTTTCAGAATTACAAATTTCTGCTTGTTTGTTTTTCTTTTTAAAATTATTTTGGGACCATAGCGAGGAACAAAATCTCAAGCACTTTCGAAACATTGCTCCATTTATCTGTAGAAGAACTTAAGAAAGGGTAAGCTTTTCACTTCTCTCGAGTTCTTTTCTATTTTTTGTTCAAGATCTCCCCACTCGCATCGAGCATTCTGTGAGGTTATTAAACTCATTTTGTTTTTCTTTCTTTAAATTATTGTTCTATAGAAGGAATTTTGATTGTAGTAGGCAAACCCTAACTTTACTGAAAGCTGGAACTGACCTCGGTTTGTACATTTTCTCCTTCACTTTTATCTATTGTTTTGTGTATTCCTGTTGCTTTTTAAATTGCTCGTTCTATCTTTTTATTCCAAAATGTTTTAGGTTGTATTCCGATTTTATGCCCACTGGTAAACTTCGATTATGGAATGTGCTTAATTGGAGCCTTGTTTAACTTGTATTTATGTCGTTCTCAGTATTTTCCCCCTCTGTGTTGCTTGGAACTAATCTGTTGAAGGAAAAAGAATTGGTCTTCTATGTTTAGTTTCAGAAATTATGGATTTGCATTGTTCATTCAATGGGTCTGGAAATTCTATGCAAGAATTATTTGATATTTTAAATATATTTTTTTAAAATTAGTTTTCATGTTTGGGTTTTAATTCATTTTGGAATTTTGAGTTTTTGGTGTCAGGGTTTGAGTCGGTTTTTTTTAGCTTCTCATCAAGCTCCTCATCTTATTTTGTCTTGTGTGTGTGCCCCTTACTTTTGATTCTTTCCTTATTTATGAACTTACTGAAATAAGTGTTAGTAAGTATAGCAACTTTGCTTGACTGTATTCATGGTAGGCACCGAATTTACCAGTTTTGCTGATTAGATTTTTGTCAATAGCTAGAAGTTGTCTCGAGTTCCTTGACTGCTTGCATGCATTTTAGTATTTCATGATAAAGTTGGCACTGAACACGAGGTCGACCTTTGCCTCTGCCATGAAATCTACCACCGACCGAGTAGTTCTAATGAGGGGTTCTATAATGTTGCTTCTCATTACTTTTGTTAGAACCCGGAGTTCACTTCCATTGTGCAAGATTTGCACTCATGGGAAGAGACTTTGACTGACACTCAAACCCCAGAATCTAAGTTTCAAATTTAATGGGTATATTACAGATACTACCAACAAAAAGGAAATCTCGCATGGCATATATGACTGCAATATAAGGCAGGTATTCCTTTGAGAGACCCTTAAGAATGCTCGCAACATGCTCGGTAGATGGAATGTGACTTTCAAAAGAAGCCAGGGCATCACACTTCTTTCATCCGTGTGAGTTATTGGAGCTTACAATGTAATCTCATAACAACAATAGAAAACTGATTAGCAAAAAATTGAAGCACCTTACTCCACACATCCACGGTCGTTTTAACACCAACAAATTGAAGAAGTGAGTACTAATCGTCGACAGAAACCAAGAGGTTAAAGTGTTATCTTGAGCCAAGAACTCCTAATATTCCTCGTTTGGAATCACAACACCTTCATCACCAATAACAGTTCCGGAGGTGGCAACATCGTCCCAATCAACATTCACTCAAGACGATGGCTCTGAACTGTGAGCAACACTTGCTGCTTTGATAAGAGGAAGTCCATTTCATCAAGAACGACGTTCACTTTTTTGTTGTTGAAGACTTTGGTGTTTCTTGATGATAATTCCAACGAAGCAGCAGTTGAACTCGAGCTGTGATCTATCACGAATCAAACAAATAGATAACAAAAGGTATTCATAAAAGAACTCTTGAAACACCGGCGACTGATACCATCTTGGAAAAGAGAATATTTGCAAAACCAAGGAAACAACTTCATTGATTTTTACACTCGATACAACCAGCTGTATATACGTTATTACAACATGCAGTTAGGATAAACCACCAGGTAACAAACCCTAATAGACTAACAATATACTATCTGAGCAAGAGCTTCTTGGCTCCATGAGATAGCTAACTCAATTAATTTTAATAATTCGTGATGATGTCAAATCCAATATTAAGAAAAAAAGATAAATGAAAACAACGATCAAACGACTAAAAATATATCAAAAGATAAAAAAATGTACTATAAAAACTTACTAAAATATGTCATAAAGACGAAATTATTAAAATATAAACGAAAAAAATAAAGATACAATATAAGAAAATAATGAAAAAAATACTCGTGCCGACAACTAACACTTGCCTACAACCAAAGAAGTTAGAGTAAGCGCTACAAAAATTTAAGGTTGAGAGGGAAAAAAAGTAATGAACGAAAAATATTAGTAAATGCCTAAAATAAGAAAATGATATGATTTGTACAAGCCTAAACTAACCCAATAAACTAGCTTCCAGGTAAAGTAGTAAAATAAGAGAATGTATATCGTACGACAATTTAATATACGTTTAATAAAATGTACTACTGAAATTAATATTATTTTAATATTTTTGATAAATCGTTATTTAAAATATTATTTTTTTATTAAAAATTTTAATATTAGACAATACTTAAAATATTATTTTTTATCACGAATTAGGATACGAAATTAATATTTTTGGTAAAAAAATATTTTATATAGTACTTTTTAAAAATATTAAAAAAATAATATTTATGGTATCAATTTTTGTTTACTGTATATTAAACTGTCTTAGTGCAAAACTACATGTAAAATCAAAGTCAAAAAAGCAAAGAGGTAAACTCTGATTGGAGAATTCTCACGCATTTCAAGGTTGTTACGGCAAATTGCTCAACTGGATTGGATTCTATTCTTTTTCACATAGACATATATACCCCTACTCTTTACCATATATAACAATAAACTTCCCATAATATCTTATTTCATTTTCATTTCTCATCTATTTGATAAAACCGAGACGAGCTTCTTTGTTGGTAGCGAAATGGCGATCTCAAGAGGCTTGTCTGGGCGGATGATTGATCGGTCGGCCGTCGTTGGAGCTCGATACATGTCGTCGTGGTGGCGTAGCGTGCAGCCCGCTCCCAAGGATCCAATTCTTGGTGTCACGGAAGCTTTTATGGCCGATCCCAATCCCGATAAAGTCAATGTTGGAGTCGTACGTTTCTTTTCTTTCCTTCTTTATTTGCTCGTACAGTTTTGTTTTTGACTGTTCTCCTTTTGAATTACTTACGACCGCTTGTTTTTTTCCTTTTTGCGTTCTTAAAAAATCTGTTCTACATTCCGAGCTAATTATTCAGGTTAACCTTTGATTGAGTGGAGTTTAATACAAAATTTTGAGTTATTAGGAATTTTATTTATAACTCAAATTTGATCTGAATTTTTTAATCGAATAGAGATTATAAAATTTGAGTCTGATGAGTTTTTAATTTAATTTAATTATAATTATTTATAATATTATGATATTATTTAATTCTAATTTAAAAGGATCGGTTTTTCAAGTTAAAGTTGAGCTTTGCTCAGTCCTAATTACCTTAATATCTTTTGTTTGGATTTATTGTTTTTATTTTTGGTAAGTTTCTCAGCTACCGAACAGAAAAGAATCGTTCGCTATTTACGTTTTGTTATTCTGTATTTTCTTGATTTTACATTTTGCGGAAACTTGAAAATTTAAAGGTAATAGACTTAAATCATGGTTATCTAATTAAAAGTAAAAAAATCTCACTTTTTGTATAAATTTAAATTAGAACTAGACTAAACATAATTCAATAGTAATTTAAAGCTTGAACAAGGTACGGACCATTAGAACCTGTTGACCCAAATTTCTTTTTGTTGTTGAAAATGCAAAAGCAATTGAGTTGTTTGTTCGAGACTTGTTTTCAGGGTGCATACCGTGATGATAATGGGAAGCCAGTTGTTTTGGAATGTGTTAGAGAAGCCGAACGAAGGGTTGCTGGGAATTTGAACATGTAAGCCATTTTAAATACTAAAGGTTGTTATTGAGGTGCCAAAGCTTTGTTGATAGTATTACAAAATTTTGTGAGTTTAACTTTGCTATGTCATTGCTACTGGTGCGTTTATGATCTGTAGGCAACTGTTGTTTGAGTGCAGAGCACTAAAAAAGCACTCACCTGAGTGATGTATATATGTGACTGTTTTTGTATCCCATCTTTGTGTGTCTGTGTAATAAGCTTAAGATATATAATTATGATAATTACCTTTAAAGTGTGGTACATTTTAACATACAAAACATTCAAAAAAAAATTTGGCTAACATGCTTGATTTTCTTATGATGTTATATTTGTTGTTGAGTACTCAAATATAGAAAAGTAGAGAGTGATATTACCCCTTGTTGAAAGTATTGTTAAAGTTCAAAGTTTGGCAACCAACTTTGAAAAAATGATTTTCAAAGTTTGGTAAATGTTTTTTTTAAATGGTTTTCAAAGTTTGGTAAATGTTTCTTTGAAAAATAGTTTTTCAAAGTTTGGTAGATGTTTGTTGAAAAATGATAATGGGATAATCACAATTAATCCCTAGACTTTAGGGTATTTACAAGATTAAGTCCTTAAGCTTCAACTATAAATACCCTAGCTCATTTAGCTTCAAAACGTTCCAAAAATCTCAAATCATTTTTTTCTCTCATTACTAGAGAGCTTTCTTGTGAGTAGTGAGTATTTTGTAAACACCTATAAATTTTCTCTTAGTAAAAGATCTGCAGCAGTCCGGAGACGTAAGTAAAATTGGCTGAACTCCGTTATCAATTTTGGGTATTATTTTTCCGTTTTTATTTCACATTCTCACTAATATGGTTATAGGGAAATTACTCGTTACTCGGTTATTTCCCAACAACTAGTAATTAGAGCTTTTGGTTGTGAATTTTGTTAATTTTTGCGAGGTTACTATCATTACTATTCACGTGAATAGTAAATTTCGTGAATAGTGAAATTTTGTCGGCGATACGAATTTGTCGACGGAGGTGTTCTAATACATGGCGGTTCGCGAAAATTATCAGAACGATCCAAAGAAGTCAGATTCGAGTGGGAGCGATGGCTGCAGACGAAGGGAAGGTGAAAATTGAAAAGTTCGATGGTGCGGACTTTGACTTTTGGAAGATGCAGATTGAAAATTTTCTGTACCAGAAAAATTATATCAACCTCTCTCAGGAAAGCAACCAGAGGGCCTGAAGATGAAGACTGGCTCTTCTCGACTGACAAGACCTCGGAGTTATCCGACTGATGTTATCCCGCAATTTTGCTTTCAACATAGCAAAGGAAAATATCACAGCGGGTCTTATAGCGGCTCTCTCCAATATGTATCAGAAGCCATCGACCAAAACAAAGTTTATTTGATGAGGCGATTGTTCAATTTGCGGATGGCGGAAGGGGCATCGGTGGCTCAACACCTAAATGAACTCAACACAATCACAACCCAGTTGAGTTCCGTGGAAATTGAATTCGATGATGAAGTTCGAGCTTTAATTCTCTTATCATCTTTACCAGGCAGTTGGAATGCTACTGTTACAGCAGTCAGCAGCTCGTTGGGAAACAAAAAATTAAAATTCGACGATGTTCGGGATCTGGTATTGAGTGAAGAAATTCGATGGAGAGAATCGGGTGAAGTATCAACCTCCTCAGCCTTGCACACGGAGTCCAGAGGGAGAACTTCAGAAAGAAATTCAAATCGTGGCAGATCCAAATCCAGAACGGGAAAATCAAGAACGGGAAAGAAAGATTTTACCTGTTATAACTGCGACAAGAAGTGTCACTTTAAAAAAGATTGCCGAGCACCGAAGAAAAATATCGCGCACAGGAATCTGCCAACGTGACAGAGGATACAGGTGATGCCATGATTCTAAGCGTCAACAGTCCGATTGAATCATGGATCTTGGATTCAGGAGCATCTTTCCGCTCCACCCCATGCCGAGAAATCATGAAGAACTATGTCAGTAATGATTTTGGGAAGGTTCATCTAGTTGATGATGAAACCTTGAAGATCGTCGAAAAAGGAGACATTCGATTAAAGTTGCCAAATCAGACCACCTGGACGCTGAAAGGAGTAAGACATATTCATGGCCTCAAAAGAAATTTGATTTCTGTAGGACAACTTGATGGAGAAGGATATAACATAATCTTTTCAGGCTGTGAATGGAAGATTACCAAAGGACCACCGTCATTGCTCGTGGTAAGAAGACTGATACTCTCTATATAACCTCAAATTTAGAGAATATCATTGCAGTAGCAGATGCTGATGGAAAATCAAACTTATGGCACCAAAAGCTTGGCCATATGAGCGAGAAAGGGATGAAGACACTTTTGTCAAAAGGGAATCTGCCAGATCTAAAGAGTGTAGATGTCGGACTATGCGAGGATTGCATCTTTGGCAAACAAAAGAAAGTTTTGTAAAGATTGGCAAGACACCCAAGGCAAAAAAGTTAGAGTTGGTTCATACTGACGTATGGGGATCATCTTCAGTTCCATCTCTTGCAGGCTCATTATATTATGTCACCTTCATCGATGATTCTACAAGGAAGGTGTGTGTTTATTTTCTGAAGAAGAAATCAGAAGTCTTTGATACCTTCAGAAAATGGAAGGCCATGGTGGAAAATGAGATTGGTTTGAAAGTCAAGCGGTTGAGGTCTGACAATGGAGGAGAGTACAAAAATAGAAGATTCAGAGATTTCTGCGCAAACAATGGGATCAAGATGGAGACAACAGTTCTCATGACACTGCAACAGAATGGCGTAGCAGAGCGCATGAACAGAACTCTGAATGAACGTGCCAGAAGAATGAGGATACATGCCGGATTGCCCAAATTTCTATGGGCTGAAGCTATCAACACTGCAGCTTACCTAATCAACCGTGGGCCCTCAGTTCCCTTGGATGGTGAAATATCAGAGGAAGTTTGGAGCAAGAAATAAATAAACCTTTTACACTTAAGAGTGTTTGGTTGTATTTCTTATGTACACATAGATTCTGCTGAACGAAGTAAACTTGATGCTAAGTCCAACAAATGTGTTTTGTTGGTTATGGTGGTGATGAGTTCGGTTACCGATTTTGGACTACGAAAATCGGAAGATCATCAGAAGCAGAGATATCATTTTCAATGAGAATGTGATGTACAAAGACAGGTCAACCATAGAATCAAGTAGCTCAAATATCGAAGCTGAATTACCATCAGACAAGAAAGCGCTCCATAACAAGTGGATTTACAAGATCAAAGAAGAGCACGATGGGAGCAAACGCTACAAAGCAAGATTGGTTGTCAGAGGCTTTCAGCAAAAAGAAGGTATTGACTACAATGAAATTTTCTCTCCAGTCGTAAAATTGCTTTCAATCAGACTGGTGTTAAAAATTGTAGCTGCAGAGAATTTACATCTTGAGCAGTTAGATGTAAAGACAGCTTTCCTTCATGGCGATTTGGAGGAAGAAATCTATATGAGGCAGCTAGAAGGCTTCATAGAGGCAGGCAAGAAAAACCTGGTATGCAGGTTGAAGAAGAGCTTGTATGGTTTAAAACAAGCTCCTAGACATTGGTATAAGAAGTTCGATAACTTCATGAGTAGCAATGGTTTTACCAGATGCCAAGCAGATCATTGTTGCTACATCAAGAGGTTCGACAACAGTTTCATTATTTTATTGTTGTATGTTGTATGTTGATGACATGTTCTTTGTAGGCTCAGACATGCAAGAGATTATAAACTTGAAGCAAAAATTGTCGAAGCAGTTTGCTATGAAGGATCTGGGCGCTGCAAAGCAGATTCTTGGGATGAGAATCAAGAGAGACACAAAGTCGGGGACTTTGATGTTATCACAGGCTGAGTACATCAACAAAGTACTCTCCTTGTTCAACATGCAAGATGCTAAACCAATAAGTACACCTTTAGGTGTTAGACTCTCCAAAGAACAATCACCAAAGATGGAGGAAGAACGTGCACACATGGTGAAGGTGCCATATGCCTTAGCAATTGGAAGTCTGATGTATGCCATGGTTTGTACCATACCAGATATTGCTCAAGCAGTGGGAGCTGTTAGCAGGTACATGAATAATCCGGGCAAAGTACACTGGGAAGCTGTCAAATGGATCCTCAGATATCTGCGGGGTACTACAAACAAAGCACTTTGTTTCAAAGGTGGAGATACAATACTGATAGGCTATGTAGATGCTGACTTAGCTGGAAATGTTGATATCAGAAGGAGCACTTCAGGGTATGTCTATACTCTAGGAGGTACTGCAGTGAGTTGGGTTTCTCAACTACAGAAGATAGTTGCTCTCTCCACAACTGAAGCAGAATATTCGCTATTATGGAAGCCAATAAGTAGATGGTTTGGCTCCAAAGTTTCTTGGAAGGGTTAGGCAAGAAACAAGAAAACAATGTCTTGTATTGCGAAAGTCAAAGTGATATTCATCTAGCAAAGAATCTGTCTTTTCATTCTAGGACAAAGCACATACAATTGAGATATCATTTTATCCGATCTCTTCTGGAAGATGGGATTTTGAAGTTTGAAAAGATTAGTGGAGCTCAAAATCTGGCAGACATGTTGACAAAGACTATGACCACTGACAAACTGAAGTTGTGTTCAACTTCAGTTGGCATGCTAGAATAACAGGACCAGAAATGTTGTTGCATTGATCGAGGTGTGAAGACAGATTAAAATCAGTCTTCAAGTGGGAGATTGTTGAAAGTATTGTTAATTTTCAAAGTTTGGCAACTAACTTTGAGAAAATGATTTTCAAAGTTTGGTAAATGTTTTTTTGAAAATGGTTTTCAAAGTTTGGTAAATATTTCTTTGAAAAATAGTTTTTCAAAGTTTGGTAGATGTTTGTTGAAAAATAATAATGGAATAATCACAATTAATCCCTAGACTTTAGGATATTTATAAGATTAAGTCCTTAAGCTTCAACTATAAATACCCTAGCTCATTTAGCTTTAAAACGATCCAAAAATCTCAAATCATTTCTTTCTCCCATTACTAGAGAGCTTTCTTGTGAGTAGTGAGTGTTTTGTAAATACCTATAAATTTTCTCTTAGTAAAAGATTTGCAGCAGTCCAGAGATGTAAGCAAAATTGGCTGAACTCCGTTATCAATTTCGGGTATTATTTTTTCGTTTTTATTTCGCATTCTCACTAATATGGTTATAAGGAAATTACTCGTTACTCGGTTATTTTCCAACACCCCTTTCTTACTAGTAAAGGTACAAGTAATTTGAAAATCAATAAATAAGTTAAAGAAGACTTTAACCATGATGGTCTTTTCTATGCCTACTGGTGCACTAGGCATGTATTGATCAAATGCCCTTGTCCCATTCGGGTAATTGTTGCTTTTGTTGTCTGTCTCTCGTTGTCCTAGGAACAAGCCTTAATGACTAGAAATGTAGGACTTTTTTATTTTTATTTTGAAGATGGTATATAGGTATAGGAGAATATTTTTCAGTCTGACTGTGCTTTTGACTCTGTATATTATTTCCACCCTTGAGCAACTTATTGGACCAACTTCTCGTTTGGTGATATGTAGAATGTATGTGCTATTTTTCTCAACAACCTAGGCCATAATTTTATCGTATTATTCCTTTTCTTGTGCACACAGTCCATTCATATCCCATTCCTATGAGAGAATGGTGCATATAGCACATCTATTCGTTGGACAATACTTGCCCTACTTCCTTTTCTTATTCTTCACCATCTTCTAGTAGGATTTTATTGGACCCCACGGATATTTAATCCTCTTCAACAATCATATGAAATGCTCGAACCTATATATTTAATCACTTTCATATTCTTTTTCTATTTCTATGGAATTAAAAGGAATGTTCTCTGCATGTTTTCTTTCTATCAGGGAATATCTTCCTATGGGAGGAAGTGTGAAGATGGTGGAAGAAACACTGAAGTTGGCCTATGGTGAGAATTCTGAGTTGATAAAAGACAGAAGGATAGCCGCAGTGCAAGCTCTGTCCGGGACTGGTGCATGCCGACTTTTTGCGGACTTTCAAAAGCGTTTTTGTCCCAACTCCCAAATCTATATACCAGTCCCTACTTGGTCAAAGTGAGTCTTCCTGTTATGTTGCCATAGACACTAATTTCCCTATGTCTTGATTCATTTTTAGGACCCGTATAAGTTCATTTTTAATTTATTACTTATGTTGCTTGTAATATGAGATATCAACAGCCACCACAACATTTGGAGAGACGCCCACGTCCCTCAGAAAACATACCATTATTATCACCCAGAATCAAGAGGTCTGGATTTTGCAGCAATGATAGATGACATTAAGGTATGTAAAGATCATTCTTTGTATCTGAACATATTAATTAACATTCCATTCTTATTATTGGTTCCTTTAAGTTGTTGGACTCCCCTTGATTCTATGTGTGTATCATCATTTCTAAAGGTTATGTTCCTCTTTCTTCACAGAATGCTCCAAATGGTTCATTCTTTCTACTTCATCCATGTGCTCATAATCCCACTGGTGTGGATCCTACAGAGGAGCAGTGGAGAGAAATCTCACACCACATCAAGGTAAATGCGTATTTGCACCCTTTTTTGTTTACTGAAGTCAATCCATGAGACGATTTGTATACTCATGTTCATATTTTTCGGTGTTCTCCATTCCAATTATTTCCGAGGCCTTTTCCTTGTTGAAACATTATATTCATTGTTATTAGGTGAAAGGTCATTTTCCCTTTTTCGACATGGCATATCAAGGTTTTGCTAGCGGTGACCCAGAGAGAGATGCGAAGTCCATCAGAATATTTCTTGAGGATGGCCATCATATAGGAATTGCACAATCATATGCAAAAAATATGGGACTCTATGGCCAGAGAGTAGGATGCCTCAGGTAATTGTCTCTGTCGACGAATGCACAACATTTTTCCTTTCAAGGTATTACTTCCCGATATCAATTCTGAAATAACAACTGCAGTGTGCTTTGCGAAGATGAAAAACAAGCAGTAGCTGTAAAAAGTCAACTGCAGCAGCTTGCAAGACCCATGTACAGCAACCCACCTGTTCATGGTGCTCTCATAGTTTCAATAATTCTTGGTGATCCAGACTTGAAGAAACTATGGCTGAAGGAAGTTAAGGTAATTGCTTGGTTTCTTTTTGTAACTTTTGTATGTAAGCTAATTGCATGTTTCGGGTCTGGGACTGATGATAGAAAACCCATGGAGGCATGGATTTTGAAATTAAGCCCTTTGGGACTTACTTAGGAGTGCCCCTTAAGAAACTGAACCCTCTTTTAAGCTTTTACTTGTTGACAAAGATTAGTGAATTTCCTATAGATTATGCCCTTGCAATGCCAACCCTAAAGGGAGCATAGTTGAATCTGTGCAATCTTCTTTTTATGATAATCTGAAATAGATTAAACATCAAATGATTTGCAGATCATGGCTGATCGCATAATTGGAATGCGAACTGCTTTACGAGGGAACCTTGAAAAGCTAGGTTCTCCTTTATCATGGCAGCACATCACTAATCAGGTGTGTTAAGTTCGTCAAATTTCTATCCACTTGGTACAAGCTGACTTCTTTAGTCAAGTGAGATGGTATCGAGGTTGTTAACACTCGTAATTTCAAGCAGATAGGGATGTTCTGCTATAGTGGATTGACACCGGAACAGGTGGATCGCTTGACAAATGAATTTCACATCTATATGACGCGCAATGGTCGAATCAGGTAGAGATATGTTTGAAAAGTAATCTTATTTTTCTGTCTGGACTAATCTTGAATAAAAAACTGAACTTTTGCTGCTGCTGGAAACAAAATACAGTATGGCGGGTGTTACGACGGGAAATGTCGAGTATCTGGCAAATGCGATTCATCAAGTATCAAAATCTGGATAGAATTGCTGATGAACAAGTCAAATCATTGTCCTTCAGCCTGGTAATGGGAAGAGATATTTAAAGATTTTTGGGCCTCTTTGTGAGGACAATATAAAGAGCTGAACTTAAGGTTTCTGCATTGAATAAATACCATAACTAGAGACAAGAGGTCCACATTGGATTGCCATTCCAATAAATAATTTTAGGAATTTGATTTTTTTTACTTGTCTAATCTAAAAATCAAAGTCGCATTGATAGCATTGTTAATTGATTTCTCTTAACTTTAAATATGCCGTACGAATTGAATTTTGATTTTAAAATATGACCTTTAGTTATTAAAACGTTACCTATTCAAATTAAACAAAAATCTATTAACAATGTTATATTATAAAAGAAAATCTATTAACAATGTTATTGATTGCATTTTAATTTCAAATCCAATGAATGAAGGATTAAATTCTTAAAGTCCGAATAGTACAATAACTAGAAGCAAAATTAAACCTATGTATATCTATGACAACTCAACAATTGTCTCTTTTTATTATGGTCATTGTTTTTTCTTTTATCTAAATTAAGTCATCTGTCGACATTCAACGAAAACTTTGATGTGATAGTTAACAAAACTGGCATAAATATACATTTTATTTTCAATACTAATATATTTTTATTAATTTAATCTTAATTTTAATTTAATTTAATAAATTTAATCCTTTAATCATATGATTACACGTGTCGTCATCTGATTAAAAGCTTTTTAAATTAAACAAATTAAAATAAGAAAAAAAAAACCTCTTATAAGAAGGTGACACATGTCATTGTATGATTAGAGGATTGAATTTATGGAACTAAAATAAAATCATGATCAAATTGATAAAATATATAAATATTGAATACCAAATGTGTAATTATATTTATATTTGTTAACTTTCACACCAATATTTTTGTTAAATTTGTTAGGATATCATAAGTTTTTTGATTTATAATTTAGAGGTTAGAATTTAAGATAATTTAAATATATATGATATAAATATAGTTTTGTTTGTGAAACAAATTTTTTATTAATATGAGATAAGTATAAGGCAATATTTGTTCAAAGATAACTCTCAATCATTCATTCTGACATTTATGGTGTTCAAATTTAAGATCTCAAAGAACAACAACAATTTCTTTACCACCTAAGTCGCTTGGTTCGTGCCTAGAACAATTCTTTTATATTATCCATGTTTAAAATAATTTAAAGAGTTATATATATATATATATGAATAACACCCCTTTTATACTATTTAAAATGTGAAATACCTATTCCTAATGTTTACAAATCAAATACTATAATCTTACATCATAATTTAAGATTATACCTTGGAACTGTAAATAAAACAAAAAAAAATCTGTTTATAATATTTAAAAATCAAACATTATAGTTCTACATGATAATTTAAAATTATACCTTAAAACTGTAAGTAAGACGAATCAAATACGATATAAATTTTATAATTTTATATTCCATAGTGTAAAACTGTAACGTTCCATAGAGTAAACGCTACTAAAAGAAAACAAAATCAGTTAGCCTGTTTATACTACTACAACTCATTCGTCTTAAATTATTTACTTAAAAGGGAATAAAAGAATCCAGTCTATTAATTACTATTACTTACTTAAGTTTGGAATCATCCATGAAATTCCTCCTCTAATTTGTATATATTAGCCTTCCAACTTCATTCAATTTCACCGACCCATTGCTCCCTCTCTCTTTCTGTTAGGATATTTGAATTTGATGGATCGTTTGGCCATTGCTGCAACAATACTGGCACTGCTCTCTCTTTCACATGGAGATGAAGAGAGGGTGAGGAGAAGCGAGGAGTGTGATATTTTCAATGGAAGTTGGGTTTATGATGAATCCTATCCTCTTTATCAAACGCCCAATTGCCCCTTCATCGAGAAGCAGTTTGATTGCCTGAGGAATGGTCGACCTGATCATCACTATCTCAAATATCGATGGCAGCCCACTTCCTGCAACTTGCCTCCGTAAGTCTCTTCCTATTCTTTAATCTTGATTTCTCCTGACGAAAAAAAAATAACAAACGTATCTGAATTAACTAATGAGTTAAAATTCTTTAGTCGGTTGTAATTTTTTAAGAAAATATATTTTTTTTTCTTTTAATAAAAACTCTCTTTTTAAGATAAGAATAATATAAATTGACATATTTTTTTGGGAATCATTATTATTTTTATATAGACCAGATATCAGATCAGTTTTTTTTAAAAATTTATAATTATATCTATTATCAAATTATAAATACAATTTAGGATAGTTATATTTAATTCCATGACACTTTAATATCTTCATTTAATTTTGTGTCATACTTTATGATAGCAATATGTCTATAATAATGAATTTTAATCCAACATCTATATTCTTTTGCACATTATAATAATATCAATAATGTTAATCGAATTAAAACTCAAATGATTCCGAAACGTAAAAAAATGTATTAGTGAATAATTTATTGTACATGAAAAGCTTTGTGCTTGTAATTTGTGTGGTTTGCATGAAAGGGACATTACCTATACCAATTGCCAACCAGGCGACAGAAGTAGTTACAAGAGAATAATGTTGGTTGACATAGCTATTTGTTTTGTTATGAAAAGACTCACAGTACTTTAATAATTACATCTTCTTGTAATAACTCTACAATTTTTAATAATATCTTATTTTTAAATATATTAAATAGTTTTGATAATTAAAGAGAATATTATTTTTTTAAAGAATTTAGATTCGAGAAACTTTATCTATAAAATATGCGTATGTTGTCTATAGTTAAAAATATTATAAACAAACACCACATTATAATTATTTTAAACTATTAAAGAAAGTAATATCTTATTTTTTTATTGGGGTTGTTGTAAAAAGAATGAGAAGAAGTTCCCTTATTTGGCATTTACGTTTGTATTAACAAATGAGTTCTTTATAGGCAAAGGCTATGATTATCTTGAGTTCACAAATATGGTTGTAGCCGACAATTTAGAAAGGATTTTCAGGGTACATTTATTGTAAGAAACACTATAGGGATAAAAACAATTAAATTGTACCCTTCATGCACACACTCTAGATAAAAGCATGCTAAATTAAGAGAATATACATATAAAATTTAAATTTCACAATTTTATCTATTTAAATATTATTTGTTATATTTAAACTTTAGAATTTAAGATTTTAGTACGTGGGGTTTATAATTTAGAAATTAGAGTATATAATTTAAGGTTTAAAATTAAAATAGACAAGATTGTAGAGTCTATATTCTAGACCTTTTATTTATTAAACGATTTTCATAATTAGATTATATTGTAGGGTGAAATATATATATATATATATAATATTTGTTTAAAAGTAATTGTAAGTGGATTGATAAGGAGCTTATATAATTTTATTAGTTATGGATTTGATATTCAAGTGAAATGACCATCCAGCTCAGTTGGTAGAGCACAAGGTTCTTAACCTTGAGGTCGTGAGATCGAGTCTCATGGAGGGCATTTCATAATTCGGAGGTCTCCTACGAAAGCTGCTCTCAATCTAGTGTTGGGGGCAGCCTACTATCTTACTTCCCCCTTACCCCATTACATATGGGAACAAGGGACAACAATTTGATATTCAAGTATCGGTTTTTAGGTTTTTTTTATTAAATTATAAAAATGATGGGAGATAAAAATATCATTTTTTAATAATATTGATTGTCATTAATAAAAAAATATGCTAATTTCTTTTAATTGAAGTCATGTTAATTCAATTAGACACTTTATATATGATTAGATTAAATTTTGGCACATTCACAATGTATATCAACGAAAATAGTTCATGTAAAAAATGTATATTTATAAGTTCAATTTTACAAATTATTATAGACACGTGACATTAATTCATTACATTGAATATTTTCTTATATTCTACTGACCCTAAATATATGTAAAACAAAAACTTTTATATTGTTTACATTTATTTTTCAATGAATATATTCTAATTTCTGTAGTTGAATCCAAGGGTGGACTGAAATTTCACTAGAATTGAAGGCACATGCATGTCAACTTCATAATGGGCTTTACTCAACCTATTTTTGATATATCTTTGTTAGGACCTCTCTCTTTCATGAAAACACAAAAGCTATCCATGTGAGTGTCCCATTTTAATAACTTTCTTCCTCCAATCAATTTTCATGAAAATGAAATCACACGTCCAATCCAATCCTCAATTACGTTCGTTAGTTTGCTTACATTCTAATCACGCATTCCATTCCAAAAGAATACATTACTTAAACGATTTAGTTTCTTGTTTTGCTTAATTGTTGTGATTGTGTATGTAACTTCCAAGTTTTCCCACCATTTGCATGACATTACGAAACAACAAGATATTGAGGGGAAAATAGAAAAACGTGCACACGTGGCAATACACATGGAGCATCTTCCCATTAATTTATTGGGTAAACTACACCTAATGTTATGTTTTGATTTTATTTTGGTCACTTGGAGTCAAAAAAAATAACGGTAATATTGATGTGTCGCCATAAAGTAATGTCACCTCATCATTGAAAAAAAATATCACGTCGGAAATTCTATTAATTTTTTAACGGTGGATGATCAAAATATAACATTAGACTTGATTTTGAAACAAAAATATAATTAGGTGACTAAGACAAAACAAAAGTGATAGTTTGGATACTAAATGTGTAGTTTACTGTAATTTAGTTTTTGTTTTTATCAAAATAGAATATGTTGTTATGTTATCACATCAACCGACTTTCAACCTAACGAAATTGGTAATGCCAAGTAGCTAAGAAAGTGAAGTTAATGAAGCTTGTTAATGAAGGTTCGATGGTGAAGATTTGTTAAGGAGAATTGTAGGGAAGAGCATTATGTTCGTTGGGGATTCCCTGAGTCTGAATCAATGGCAGTCCTTGACTTGCATGCTCCACACTGCTGTCCCACAGGCGCAGTACAAATCTATGACTGTTCAGGGCCTCTCCACTTTCACATTTCCGGTAAGATCAATCTACCGTTTTAATATCACCATTAGTATCGGATTCGAGTAGATGTAACGGATGTTTGATCGGCAGGAGTACGATGCGAAGGTGATTTTCTCCCGTAACGCGTTCCTAGTGGATCTTGTAAGCACGCCGATCGGGCGAGTTATGAAGCTTGATTCGATCGAGGGTGCCAAGCTATGGAAAGGGATTGATTATTTGATCTTCAATACTTGGCATTGGTGGCTCCACACTGGGAGGAAGCAACCGTAAATACTCTTGTCGTCGTTGTCGATATTTTCTTGTCCTGAATCTCCTTGTTTCGATTTCTTACGTTATGGCTTTGCAGATGGGACTTCATTCAAGATGGAAATCATACACAACCTGACATGGACCGGTTGGTTGCGTATGAGAAAGGGTTAAAAACATGGGCTAAATGGATTGATGCAAATGTTGATCCTTCAAAATCTAGGGTTTTCTTTCAAGGAGTCTCCCCGGATCATATGAAGTAAGACTTAAATTTATATTTCGCTCTTACTTAGAGAAACTGATTGAATTAGGAGTGTTTAATGAGTTGAGTAGTTTATGAGTTGTACAAATTCGATTCGGTCAAAACTTGATCAATGTTTGATTCAGATTTGTCTAACTCGAATTCGAGCTCAATTGAGACCTTAACGAATTGAGTCGATTAAAGCCCAATTCGATTCAATATGATCGAGAGCATTTCGTTAATTTTTTTATAGTTTGTAGTAATTACCATAAAAATTATTCCATTAAATAATTCTAATTAATAATTATTAATTTTCTAATAGATAATGAAAAATGCTAATTATTAATTAATAGTTAGTATATTTTCATTTTGCTCCCTTATTTTCTATGATTAATTATATTTTCCCTCTCACTTTTTATGATTAATTATATTTTGTCCCCTTGAGTTAGAATCTTGATTCTGTCATTGCTTAACGAGGAGTGAATCGAACAATAAATTTTTAATAACCACTAAATTGTTGATTGATGTTTGTATGCTGGAAAGCAGTTCAAGTGATTGGGGTGAACCAAGTGCCAAGAACTGTGAGGGGCAGGAAAAGCCAATGCACGGAGGAAGCTACCCAGGGGGACGACATCCAGCGGAGCAAGTGGTGGAGAAAGTGATTAGAAGCATGTCGAAGCCGGTTTATCTGCTCAATATAACGACTCTGTCGCAGCTAAGAAAAGATGGGCATCCGTCGGTGTTCGGACATGGCGGGCACAGAGATATGGACTGCAGCCATTGGTGTTTGGCCGGCGTTCCTGATACTTGGAACCAGCTCCTATATGCAGCTCTCATTCATAACTGAAATTGATCATATTCCAATCTAATTGTCTTTATATATTTACTCATGGAAATGATTTGGAATTGACAATAATATAATCAAAATAAGAATCCTAAGTCTGATTCCATTAAACACCTTAATTAGAAACATCAACTCTCGTCTTCTTTCAGATATCCAAAATATCGAATCAAATGATATTCAATATTAAAATTACACCCCCCTGTTGAAGACCCTTTACTTTAGCACCAACCTCTAGTTTCTTCCTTATTTTATTTTAGGACTTAACACAGTAGGGACCAGGGAGAATTAAGGAACAAAGTAGGATTCAATAAATGACTGAAATAAAAGAGAGTTAAAATACTAAATGTGTAGTCTAAAGCTAAGTGATATCTATTCTAATATCACGAACCACCCGGCAACCGATAAAGCCGCCGCAAAAGTAAAACAAGTTAGCAATTTGCAAAGCAAAGAACAAACTCTGAAACTGAAACAAGAGAAGAACAAAGTTCCCAAGATTTTAAATTCAAGGAACTGCTCACTTTCATCAATATCATCATTTTGCTCTTATCCATTAGATTTCAGGTAACATTTAACAAATAATATATGTCTAATTCTTTTTAATCTATTGCTTCTCGTCAGTAGAAACCAAACCCATGTCTAGGGCATTTTTTAGACTTGTTTGTGACCCACAGTTCGGTAGTTTCATGTAAGTAGATTTTCTTTCTTTATTTTCTGGAAAATTGTTGGTTAAATGGGTTCTCTTTATTTTTGCGCTTAGTTTAACAGATCATGTGTTTTCCTCCCTTGTTTTTGTTAAGAATCCTTTGACATTGTGAAGAACATTTATTTAAGTTGGTTCATTGTATTTCTAGATCGGTTGTCTTTTTTAAGTTAATTTAAATTTTAATTGTACATAGAAATCGAAATCAGATCCCTTTTATATGCTTTCAGTTACATTTGTTGATTTTGTTTCGTCAAGGGCTTTCTATTCTTTGTAGTCTACTAATTGTTGGGCTCCAAGATTTCCATTTGTAGATATGTATTGCAAAACTTGTGTAAAATTTACTATTTTCCTGTAATCAGAAGGAAAATGTTGATCATTTCGTCCCTGCAGAAACTTAAGCCGCCGCCGATGCGCCTTTGTTGAGGTCAACGATATCGGTTTCTCAATGGATGAGTTACCAGAGCATTTGGTTTCAGAAATTTTAGGCAGGATTAGGAAAACTGAGGACAGGAACTCTGTTTCATTAGCTTGTAAACGTCATAACAAAATGGATAACGAACAGAGAATTTCGCTTCGAGTTGGGTGTGGATTAGATCCTGCAATGAAGCTTTGGCTTCCCTTTGCAATAGGTTTCCCAACTTAACAAAAGTCGAAATCACTTACTCTGGTTGGATGTCCAAACTCGGCGCAACAAATGGATGACCAAGGGCTCTCAATTCTTGCTGGCTACTGCCCTTTACCAAGTGATCTCACTTTAAGCTATTGCACGGTTGTCACTGATATCGGCCTTCGTTACTTGGCTTCTTGCTCAAAGCTTTCATCTCTGAAGCTGAACTTTACCCCATGAATTATGGGTTGTGGCATACTATCCCTTGTTGTAGGCTACAGAGGCCTCACCATTCTCCATCTTATTCACTGCCTGAATGTTAATAGCGTTGAGTGGTTAGAATATCTTGGCAAGCTTGAAAGTCTTGAAGATCTGTCTATTAGAAATTGTAGAGCGATTGGGGAAGGTGATTTGATAAAGCTAGGACTGAGTTGGAAAAAGCTAAAACGGTTTCAATTTGAGGTGGATTCTAACTTGCAATTGGCTGTAGAAGGATGGAAAAGACATTGGATTCCATGTGAAAATATGCAGGAGCTTAGGTTGGTCAATTGCATCATCAGCCCTGGAAGAGGGCTGGCTTGCATATTAACGAAGTGCCGAAACTTGGAGAAAATTCACTTGGACATGTGCATCGGATTAAGAGACTCGGACATTGTAAGCTTAGCACAAAAGTCTAGTAATCTTCTGTCGATATCGCTGTGTGTTCCTTATGATTTCTCACAGCCCTTATTGATGAACAATCCCTTAACATTAACTGACGAGAGTCTAAAAGTTATTGCTCAGAACTGTTTCATGCTTGAAATGTTGAGGATATCTTTCTCTGATGAAGAGTTTGCTTCATTTTCATCGTTTACTTTGAACAGAATTCTTAGTGTGATCCAAAATTGCCCGGTTCGGGAACTTGCTCTTGACCATGTCTATTTGTTGACTGATATCGGGATGGAAGCTTTATGCTCAGCTCAGCATTTAGAAACCATGGAGCTTGCGAGATGCCAAGAAATAAGCAATGAGGGGTTGCAGCTATCAAGTTGGTTTCCCGGTCTCCGTGTTTTGCGGCTGAGAAAATGTTTGGGGATTACAAATGATGGATTCAGAACTCTTGTTGGTTCATACAAATTGGATTTCTTGGCTATTGAGGATTGTCCTCAAATTTCTGAAAGAGCGATCTACGGTACTGCTAGATCGATATCATTTCGGCAAGATTTGTCATGGATGTATTGAACTCGGTAAGTATAATTATGTGGTTTCTTTTGTTTGTGCCTTCTGGTTTTTTATTACAATTGAACATTTCTAGACGTTGCATCTAATTCTTGTATATCTTTACGTGAAACAGTTGATAATAACAACGTATATAATTTCTATATGCTATATTGCAGTATTGATTGTTGAAAATGCCATATTTTGGTAAGTAATATGAGAAGAATATTGAGCCTGGCATCTTACATTGTTGGGCCATCAAACATATCACATGTTCTTTCCAAGTTCTTCTGTCGGTTCAGTTGACAAGAGGAAACGAGTTTTGAATTCAGGATTTAAGGCTAAATATCAATTGGTTATGGATAAATGGGTAATAGGTTTAATAAAATGGTATAATTTCTAATTTCCACATATTTACATAGAAATCTATCATATTTTGTAACATCATGAAACTTTTAAATAGATCAGAATATTATTTATTTTTACATCTTTAGTTCGATTTTTAAACAAAATTTATTAATAATTACCATTGGGTGAAAGTGAAACTAAGATTGCCCCGAAAGCGTTCGAAGCACCATCAAAATTTAATTTTTAAGGCCATATCTTTGAAATAGTGCTTTCCTCAGCTGATATACACGTTAAGTCTTCACCATGAAAATTGAAGTTCAAGGGTTCATAATTTCTTGAAGCTTGGCTAGCCCAGAAACATGCTATTGTAATTTTCTTTGGTTTACTTATTCAATATCAGATTTTGAAAGCAAAATCTGGTATCGGGCTAGTCTTCGTGGGAGATTTCGTACTAAGCTTCAAAGAATTTAACTTCGAGACTAACCATGTAGTATGATATAACATGTATTACTTGTGCTTTCGGATTAGTCTGACTAGTGTGCAACACCATTTTTCGATTAGCAACTACTTGGCTCAACATTTAGTGAACTTTTTGGCTGAAGTAATAAATTACAATTTCTCAGGCTGGTATTGTTTCCCTAGTAATCATCTATTGGATTCTCAGCTTTGTCAACTAAAGGATCAACCGCTTGTGGGTGGCATTAAAATTCGAGTACTGGAAAAGTATTGCTTGACCATATCAAAATCCATTAGACATTCATATCTTGTACTTTTGGACTATTCTTTCCTTGAAGTCGGAAAATAGGATCATACTACTCAATTAACTGTAAGATAAACCAAGTAATGTAATTCAATTCACAAACTTTATTGATAAACCAAGTAATGCAATTCAATCCACGAACTTTATTCTGAATACTTGGGACGCTAGATTCTAGATGTTCTCTTAATAACAGAACATGTCCCTGTTGAAAGTAAAAAAAACACGTGGGGCGGCTGGCAAGGAAATTCAATGGGACTGCTAATTTTTCAAAGTTAGGCAGCTCATTTTTTTGAATTTAAGAAATGATTAATTACATTTTAGTCATTGCACTTTAGGGTATTTTCAAATATTAGTCCCTAAGCTTCAACTATAAATACCCTAGCTCATTTAGCTTCAAAATCATCCCAAATCATTTCTTTCTCCTAATACTAGAGAGCTTTCTTGTGAGTAGTGAGTGTTTTGTAAACACCTGTAAATTTTATCTCTTAGTAAAAGATTTGCAGCAGTCCGGAGACGTAGACACAATTGGCTGAACTCCGTTATCAATTTCGGGTATTATTTTTCCGCTTTTATTTCGCATTTTCACTAATCTGGTTATAGGGAAATTACTCGTACTCGGTTATTTCCTAACAATTGGTAATCAGAGCTTTTGGTTGTGAATTTTGTCAATTTTTTGCGAAGTCACTATTCATTACTATTAACATGAATAGTAAATTTCGTAAATAGTAAATTTCGTAAATAATACAAATTTTGTATGCGATACGAATTTGTCGACGGAGGTGTTCTAATACATGGTGGTTCGCAAGAATTCTCAGAAACGATCCAAACGAAGCCAGATTCGAGTGGAAGCGATGGCTGCAGACGAAGGGAATGTGAAAATTGAAAAGTTTGATGGTGCGGACTTTGGCTTTTGGAAGATGCAGATTGAAGATTTTTTGTACCAGAAAAATCTATATCAACCTCTCTCAGGAAAGCAACTAGAGGGCATGAAAAATGAAGACTTGGCTCTTCTCGACAGAAAAGCCCTCGGAGTTATCCGACTGACGTTGTCCCGAAATATTGCTTTCAACATAGAAAAGGAAAAGACCACGGCATGTCTTATGAAGGCTCTCTCCAGTATGTATGAGAAGCCATCAGCCTTAAACAAAGTTCATTTGATGAGGCGATTATTCAATTTACGGATGGCGAAAGGGGCATCGGTGGCTCAATTCCTAAATGAACTCAACACAATCACAACCCAATTGAGTTCCGTGGAAATTGAATTCGATGATGAAGTTCGAGCTTTAATTCTCTTATCATCTCTACCAGACAGTTGGAATGCTACTGTTACAGCAGTCAGCAGCTCGTAGGGAAACAACAAATTAAAATTTGATGATGTTCAGGATATGGTATTGAGTGAAGAAATTCGACGAAGAGAATCGGGTGAAGCAT